TTTTCCGTGTCCTGCAGAGGAAAAATTATGACAACATCCTTCACGGCTTGAGGACGGGAAATTATTCAAACAAATTTTTTTTTTCTTCAACCAAAAGCAGCTTATAGGCAAATATTTAAGAAATTTGTTATACCTGATAATCAACTCAAAAGCAAACTTGAAATTACCCCATTCAGATGAATCGAGAAATGATTCCTTTTAGAGGAAATTGCCCGATCCGAAATTCAAAAGGAGACTGGTGACTAGTCACAAACTCGATGCCGTTTGAAGCAATCAAACAACAGACACCAGGACAAGAAAGAGTACACTAAAATTAGTAAAGCTTCTGGATTTGAGCGTATTCGGATTAATAATTACAGAGTTTCAAACGTTTAAAACTTGAAAAAATTACAAAGAATGTATGGAGGTTTTGAGAAGCGTCCCCAAAACCCATACATTATCTCTTATTTTCACAAATTTGAAAACGTTCCTACTCGGTGAGTACTTAACCAAATATGCTCAAACTTGACAAGAACACTTATTTTAGTGTGGTCTTTCATGTGGTGAGGTTCAGTTTGCGATGAATGTAATATTTTCACACTCGTTCCCAGTCTCCTTTTGAATTTCGGAACGGGCAATAATCCAGTTTCGAATTCTCTAATGCTCTGTGTTAGCCTCATTTGTGCGCAAAACATTCCTAATTGTGAGAATAAAAGTGTGAGATTTCAATTCCATTCTATTGTCTTTCTTTTCGAATTCCATGCGTTTTCTCGGGCTATCAATAAAACAAAAGAATATGTTACTTGGTTTTGAGGCTAACACAGAGCAAACCAGAACTCGAAATTGGAGTATTCATAGCAAAAACAGAAGTAATACAGTTCAAGTGTTGCTTCAATTTTATTGGACAATAAACAATAGCAAATCTTAGCCAATCAGACGGTATCAAAAGCTTCCGAATGATATAGCGTTCATATGCTGAGAGGTAAAACTTTTTAAAATCGTTTGGCGCAAGAATTATTTTATATTCAGAGCAGTGCCGTAGCTAGGCCGAGGTAAGCGACCGCCAACGTCGGCCGGGAACAACTACATGTTCTTCCGAGAAATTTTGAAATAAGCCGTTTGCAATATGACGTAACTTTACTACAACAACCAGAGAGCCTTGCGCATTTTCATTGTTATTCAGATTTTTAATCCCCTTGGAGATTAATAAAACAATTTGCAGTAATTGCATTACAAAAGAAAGTTGGCAAAGCATTCTGGTAGTTGTAGTAAATGACGCCATAATGCATATCGCCTATTCAGACTCTCGACCTAAACTGAATAACAAGTCGTAGCATTCGCTTCTCGATTTTTCGATTTGTCGCCCAAACTAGCGACAAGAAATATCGACAGAGAGGGAACTGGTACAGGCTTATGGAGTCAGTCTAATTCTCAGCCGAAATGCGATTTGAAGCGTTTTGTGGGCCTTTTGGTAACTTTTTATTGAGCAGAAACACGCTACATAACACATAATCCACATGTGGGATGAACTAAACAAAGGAGCTCTCACATGTCATTTAGTGGTCACAAAACTTCATTCGACTAATGTTTGAATGAAAAACAAAAAGCATCGGCAAAATATTACCCAGGCGAGTGCGTTGGTTGCCTTTTACTATCTACGGCACTGCAAAGCTCAAAATTTTGAGGAAATCTTGTTGTGGCTTGTTTGTTTCAATATCTAGTGCTCCTAGGAAGTGCTCATTTTAATTATATAATATACACTTGAATATATAATTAACCAAAATGCAAACAAACAATTTTCGCCTATATTTTCGACTTTTTCTGTGTAAATGTAATGTTC